TATTATAAAATTTATAGATACATGATGTAATAATTTGATATTTGAAATACTATAAATATAGTTTAATTTTAGACATTTGTATATAATATATTGTTTTGGAACTTGAGGGACTAAAAATATAATTCAATTAAAAGTATTATTTAGTAAATGTCCACTCCATCCACACAAACCCTCCCCTACCCACCCAAGTTTGCCTTGCGCCGCCTCACTTCTTCTCTTCTTTCTCTTTCCTTTTCTTGAAAATGGAAATCGAGAGCAACAAGAAAAATGAACCCACCTTTGGGAATTTTTAAAAATACCACTGTTTAAAAAAATTACAAAAATACCACCTAACTCCGGAAAATTTCAAAAATAACACACTTTCTCGAAAACCACCACCCCACCCCGTGATTTACACGAAAATCGCTGGGTGGGGTCATGGATTTCAATCAAAACCGCTTCGGTTGGGGGCTGTTTTGTTGACCGCGGCTGGTAGGCGCGGTTTGGTCGAAAACCACTGCCTAACCTAGCGGTTTGGCCATTTAATTTTTTTTCAATAAATCCTAACCTAAATGGGAACTTCAAAAGAACTTATCTTTCTAGTCAGGTATCCGATCGTAGCAAAAAAAAATTTATTCCTCATAACTTTATCATAGACATAATTTCGGAATGTACGTGGATTTGTGAAAAAGGAACGTAAAGTTATTCCCAAAACCTCGTATATCCATAAATAATTCGTGTTTTGAAAATTTATTTCTAGTAAAAGTTGTAGTCCTTTAAAATTTATGCGAAATAAAAAAAATTCATGACGTTCGGATTTGGGAGTACAAAGTTATGGTCGTCCAAAGTTTGACGAAATGGGAAAAACGTTTTTTGCAACGAAACCGAGACCAAACCGCCACACCGTTTGCGACTTGCAAGATCTCGAAAAGTTATGCTGAATCAAAAAGAAGGTTTGCTATGATTTGGATACCCGAGCACAAATATACGTTCGTTTGAAGTTTCCACCTAGTTTAGGATTTATCCAAAAAATATATATTAACCGCCCCTACCCGCTGTGGTCAACAAAACCACCCCCAACCCAAGCGGTTTTGGTTGAAAATCGCGCCCCCACCCAGCGGCTTTCGTGTAAACCGCAGGGTAAGGGTGGCGGTTTTGAGAAATGGTGGTATTTTTGAAATTTTTCGGAATTGGGTGGTATTTTTGTAATTTTTTTTAAATAGTGGTATTTCTGGAAAAAAAATCTCCACCTTTGTAACCAACTAATCATCTTCCCTACAAACATTCAACTCTCTGATCTAATCGGCGATAGTTGAATCGATTTGTTCTTCAACCCTCCATGCAATCTCTGTCTAATTATCGTTGATCTCTTCTGTCTCCATCTGAATCGGCTCATTTACCATCGGGATTACAGGTCTCCAACCTGCAATTTCTCTATCCCCTTCTTTCGATCTGGTTCTTTACAGCAAAGGGTTGAGAAAAGGATTAGAGGTCACAGTCTAGTGAAGGCGACGTGTGCGCGAAAGGAGGTAAAGCTGCCGACCAGGAGCTCCGGTGGGTGGGAAGAGAATGGCGATGGTGCCGCACGAGGGGCAAGCCCACAGACCCGCTCCGTCAGGACAACCGACCGAGTTGGACGAGTATCATATCAGGTTTTATTGTGTTTGACCAGATCCAGGCGGATGCTCCAATGGGTTGATGTAGCCCATTTTTGTTGACGGGTCCCGGTCAAATCGGGTTGACCCGCGAGTTGACAATTTTGGTCTTTATCTAGAGCGACTATGCGTACACAAAATTATGTCTTCTTGAACCATGCTACTAATTGGCTAAACTGTTTATAGTTTTGGCCAAACTATTAGCAATTTAGAAGTTAACACCACTCATTCATCCCTGTGATTATTGTAGCCCAGCTTGTTCAAGAAATGTTATAAGATTAGCAACTCGATACACTTGATGTCCAGATCCCTAATATTTACAAAATTTCTAGCTAGCAAAATAATGACATAGATCTAGCATCACCCAACGTTCCGAACTAATCACTTGCTAAAGCAACATTTTTTTTTCCCCGAGTGATATCAAGAGAGAACAATAGTTATACAAATAAAACTACCCAGGAACCCCATACAAGCGACACCCTAGTGAAGCCATACAAAAAAGTCGAAAGACTCTAACTCTAGAAGAGCCAATAGCAGTGCTTTACGCGCTACTCTATGGGTAGCACTGTTTGGCGGTCCTAGGAACCACCCTAAACTCTATACAAACTGACAAAAAATCTAGGAACTAAGACACTCTTGGAGCACCGGGCCTCCAAAGAAATCTTCAAGGAAACCTTGATGGATCTGGTTGACGACCACCTTAGAATCACTTTCATGCCCGTCTGACCCTTGATGACGCATACCGCCTACCAACACCACATGCCCGTCTGACCCATGGAAAACAAGACCAGACGAGCACCCTTAGTCACGAACAGCTACATCGAATTTGATCTTCAAATAGACGTATGGTGGGGGCTCCCAAGTGGCGGGAGGAGGATTAGGGAGGAGCGATCTAGGGGTCGTAGGAGGGGTGAAAATTAGAGGCTTCAAGGACCTGGTTGTAGAATTGTCTGACGAGGGAACGGACATGAGGTTGGTAGAATTCAAAAGACACTTTATTTTTAGACTTCCAGATTCTCCAATGTTAACAGACGCATTGGAGAATGTGGAATCGGGAGATCTTAGAGATCATGACATGTCACCAACATAGACTAAAATTAACATTCGGGGTGGAATCATTGAGGTTTCTCAATCCCACTAAGGACCACAACTTGGTGGCTAGGGTGCATATGAAGAATAAGTGTTCAATGCTCTCTTGATGTCTCCAACATACGGGGCATCGATTGAGTCACTTAACTCCATGGGTTTGTAGGGCTACCACCGTGGGAAGAATGATCTTGAGTGCTCCATCTCATTATTAAAATGACTATTTAAAAGCTTGGTTAAGACTTTTTCGGGCCAAGCCGTTGCTAGCCGTAATGCCATGTTACCGATTTGAAGAAAATTGGTTTTAAGTAACATCTTGACAATGTTTTGGTTTGAATTTCCTTGAATCACGCCTGTCGTAATGGCGAATGCAAAACCGTGGGAGGCTCTTTTTCCCGAGCTTTAGAATACTCTAACTCATCATTAAATAGACGATATGAAAGCTCAATAAGGCATTTCCGGTGCAAACAAAAACCGTTGTGTTGGGGTATATTGGTTTCAGCTTGAGGAGTGGCCCGCTACAAAACCTGTTGTATCTAGGGTTATTAAAGATTGTCTTTTAATTTAGGAGAACTAATTACATACCTTACTCACGTCAGGCGAAGGTCTTCTTTCGACGCATTCTGAACCTGAGCGTGGTTTTTCAGCACTATATGGATACGGAATCCTCGTTTTTTGGTCGCAAAATAGAGCTTGAATCAGAATATCCTTCAGTCACCCCAGGTGAGGAGTTCCCCCGTCCTTAGCCACCAGTTCCAGATGGATAGCAAATCAGGGAAATCCATCCCCACACTACGAGTGAAAGCGAAAATGTAAAGATTACCACATCTCCCCTATTCAAATACCAGCAAGCTGAAAGTGTTTCAAGCGTCCTCCAAGGCACGAATACTGTTTAGGACCATTAGTGATACTTTAGCGCCTAGTAATGGTAGTTTCTTTGGTTGACTTGCATAGCTTAGACCAAAATCCAAAGACAATGCACGAGATTGGGATTAGGCATGACAATTAATCACAATGGAGGAAAATAAATTTAAATAGTTCCTCTCAAGATTAATTGAGGGCTAACATCTTATAACATCTCCATTAAATTCAATTAAAATTCATGAGTCAGCTCAGGGAAAAGGGAAACTATTCATAATAAACCGTAACCCATGAAACTGGCCATCAAAGCCGGTCAGGATTGACTCCCTATTGGAACCATGATCGGAAAGGGTTGAGCGAACGCCGATGATCGGAAACTGGGCACTAGCCACCAATTGAACAATCTACATTCACTTTCAAAGGGTTCTCGAGAACCTCAAGCCAACGACAAGCGTTTTATATAATCTTGAAGATTTAACAGAGCAAAAAGCTCTAAGAAACTAGTCATTCACCAATTGAACAATCTACGTCCATTTCGCTTCCAGAAGGTTCACGAGAACCGCAAGCCAACGACAAGCGTTGTATATAAACTTTAACGTTTATTAGAGCAATCTGAAACCGAAATTTCAGTCCAAGTAGAGAGTTTCGGAGGAATAGAATAAAACCTGCGAAGAACCTTGGGGGGACGGTTGAATTGCCAGGGAGATATGCTTGTGAGAGAAGGACGCCGTAGAGAGAAGGCGGAGGAGGGAAGAGGACCAGGTTTTGCCTTAACTTTGGATGTTGTTTCTTGAATTTGCGTGGTTTCTTCTTTCTGTGGGGGGATTGGTCTCTCCTCTTTTCTCCGCCAATTGTTGTAGGTCATCCACATGCTGACTTTCTACCACTCCTGCTAAAGCAAGGTTATTTTAGCTAAACTAATTGAAGTACTAATAATTAGCCACTCTATTAAATAACATTGTGTCCAACCATGCTTATGTGGCTAATGAATTGCCACATCACACATCCCATGTGGTACTCACCACCAATAAAAACTTGACACCTGAAAAACCAAAAGAATAATTAATTTATATTTCTAATTAATATTTCCATATTTTCTACTCTCCCTCTCGTTTTCTCTCTGCTCTGCCGTCGCCGAACAATCTCTGGTTCTTCTCCCTCTTTTGCTGGGCTTCTTCCATTTCTTTTCTCACCTTTCTGAACGCCATTCTTTCAATTTCTCTCGGTCTGAAGGTCATTGGCGATAGAGGTGTATCGAGTTCTCTTTTAGGATTTGGGGCTGGATACCCTGAATTTGAGGTAGATTTTCTGGGTTTTAATTGCTGCGGATTGCTACGTTTGGGGGTAACTTGGTGGGAACTTCAAGGGTTTCAATTATGGGTTTGAGGGTTTCAGGCGATTTGAGAGTCAGAAGATTAGATGGGGGTTGTGGTTTGGCGACTGGCAAGCATAGAGATCGAGGTCGTGAGCCGAAGCGTCGGCGTACTGGGATCTGAGATGCAACATCAATATGGGCGACGAGTAGGAGATATCGAGAAGCTTCGAACGGCGTCAACAGAGGTAGAGACTCGATTCTCTATTTGTGCGGTGAGGCTTCAATCTGCGGCGACGGTGGTGGAAGATGCGTTGTCCGTAGGCCTGTCGGTTCGGTTCGGGTAACCGAACCCGAAAACCGCAAAAAACTGAGAAACGGCAACCAAACCCCGCAACCCGAAACCAAAACCGGACCTGTGCTTTGTGGATTTCGGGTACAAGAACCCGAAAAAACACACTGGCGGTTTTGGTTCGGTTCGGGTGAACCCGAAACCAAACCGGTTTGAAATTTTTTTTTATACTTTTGTAATTTGAATTTTATATTCTTTTGCTTGTACAAACAATTTATTCTTATTATTTGTACATTCTTATTTAACCATTATGTTTAATTTTATGGGACGTGGACAGTATAAAACTTATATTTATATATTAGTTTATTATTAAAATATTAGTTAATTATTAAAATATTTAATTTTATGTATTCTATAACTATAGACATACTAGGGATGGCAATTTTGCCCATACCCATGGGTATTTTACTATCCAACCCAATTGGGTTGGGTATGGATTCCAAATAAATGGTAGATGGGTAGAGTTTGATGGATTTGTACCCATACCCATTTACTTGGGTTGGGTTGGGTTTTTAACACATGGATTTGGGTTTGTACCCATGCCCAAAGGCAAATTACAGTTTGGTACCTAAACTTAATAGTTATCCATATTTAGTACCTAAATTTAATTTTTTTTTGCATATAAGTCCTTAAAATATGATGGAAAATTACGTTTTGGTACCTAAATTTTTTTGGTCTTACATTTTGGTACCTAAACTTTTCAAGTTTTACAAATAGGTCCAATTTTTGTGTGTGTAGTTAAAACACCCTCATGTAAATGGATATCCATATCCAACCCATACCCATTTGCATTATGAAAGCAATATCCTTACCTAATCCAAACTCATCTACAAACCCCCAAACCCATATACACTAAATGGATTTATTTGGATTTGGGTAAAATTACCCATGGGTGGGTAATTGCCATCCCTAAGACATACTATTAACTATTAAAGAGTATTACTATTTTAGAGACAAAGTAAAATACTTAAACATATTTTATACGTAAATTAATCGTATCTTATTTTGCTATGTCAAGTAATACAACCTTTTGGGCCATTTAATTGTGGATTTTTATATAATTAAATGTTTTAGTAATACCATAGGTCGAAAATTGAAGGTATATCAACTATCATATGCAAAAAAATGTTTGGTGTTTTGCGCAAAATTATAAATAATTTTGTTTAACATAAAATACCGACAATCATAGATGAGATTATCTTCAACTCGTAATTAAACACATTAGTTTTACAATTCTCAAATGATAACATCCAAGTAAAATCAAAGTTCATCCACCATACAAGATAAACACTACTACCATTATCACTCCTCATCAGGCTCTACATCCACATAAGTCTCATCATTCTCATCAGAATTGTCGTCGACATAGTCTTCTTCCACTTGTGACATAGTAGGACTCGAGACCAAAACATGGGTAGCAGGAAAGCTTCCACTAGTTTCTGCACGAGAGCTTCCACTAGGTCCTGCAGGTGCACTTGAACTCCGAGCTTGAAAAGCTGCATATACTGGATAACATAAACAATAACAACTTGTTAGAATATGACTTGATCAAGATAACAAATATAAGAATAAAGAGAAAGATTAAGTCCTTACCATTTTGAAATACCACTTCATCACCCTCATCTTCTCCATCAGCCACCAACTCGGAGTCTGAAGATCTTATCCAATCTTCACAACAAATCAAAGCTCCACAACTTCAGGGGATAAGGAGGTTCTAAACGAATCTAAAACTCGACCTCCTGTGCTAAATGCCAACTCAGAAGCAACAGTGGAAATAGGAACAACAAGAATATCCCTAGCCATCTCAGAAATAGTAGGATATTGCATCCCACTTCGCGACCACCATCCCAAGATGTCAAACTTGTATTCATCCTCTTCTGAACCCACCAATGCTCGTGTAACCACTTCATCATCCTCCTCCTCCTCAAGGTACCTATCAAACTCATATTTTGAACTTTTTCTGATTCCTTTCAGAATGGCATCTCTTTTCATTTTCCTGAAATCACCCCAAATCTTCCCTTTCTTCTTACCATCCCCACTTCCACTAGGTTCTTGCTCATCTTCCTGAATCACAATGGGAGAACTACCATGAATTCTGAGTTTATGCTTGTAATGGTCAAATAGAAAACGCATTTCATCTTTCACCTCTTCGACCAAAGCTTTGCCCCTGCTCTCACCATATACCTATTTCAAAGCTTGTTCAAGATATTCAACTTTCCGCCTAGGATCTAATATGACTGCCATATAGCACAACCGATTCATCTTGGAATTCTCCAACTCATCTTCAAACCAATACTTGGCAAGTTTGGACTTGATTCTCTTAGCCATGCAAGACACCTCAAAATCTATACCATCAGCCCACTCAGATATCATAGTATACATTTCACATACCTCATCAAACAAGATGTGTAAAGTCACATATGAAGTCCCAGAAACTCGAACAGTTAAATCATAGAATAGCTTCAGGTAATCAATCAACCGTCACACACTAGACCAATCATCAGAAGTTGTGATACCAAGGCTTTCATTTCCATATTTTTTTTTCATTGAGATGTTTCTTGAATTTCTTATCATTTCTAGCTAATGTCTGAAATGCTTTCTCAAATGGCTTTGCAGATTCCAACATCAGATACGTTGAGTTCCACCTTGTAGCTACATCCAACGAAACAAATTTCTTCGACACTATCTTTTCAAACTCAATGCAATCTTTAAATTTTCTGCTCCTAGCTGGTGTAGATTTAACCCACTTCACAGACTCTCTCACTCGCTCCACAGATTTACCAGTTTCTTTAAGCCCATCCTTCACAGCCAAATTAATAATGTGAGCCACACACCTCATCTGCAGATATTTTCCATCCAAAATATCTGATCCCCACTCTTTCAACTGTTCCTTCATATGGATAGCAACCACATCATTGACACTAGCATTGTCCATTGTTATACAAAACACCTTCCTAATGCCCCACTCCACCAAACAACTAGCCAACTGTTTTCCAATTTCACTTCCAGAATGTTTTGTAACTTGGACAAAGTTAATAATTCTTTTATGCAATTTCCAATCTCTACCAATGAAATGAGCAGTAATGCACATATAATTGAGATTGGACAAAGAAGTCCAAGTATCAGTGGTGAGCGATACCATCCCTAAACACTTAGTCTTGAAATAGTCCTTCAACAACTCTCTATTTTCAAAGAACACCTTGATACAATCCTCTCTAACGGTCTGACAACTAGGTAACACAAACATTGGACAAACACGAGCCATAAACCGTTTGAACCCTTCATGTTCAACATACCTAAATGGTAATTCATCTACGATAATCATCTCCGCTAAAGCTCTCCTAGCATCAATCTGATCGAATTTCCAAGTGCCAAGAGTGTGTACCTGGCCTCTAGAAGATGATAGATGGTCGACTATCAGCTCACCCTTTTCTATCTTTTCCAAACAACTATCTTTATGATTCTGCAGAGTAGAAGTCCCATATTTAGTGGGAGCCATAAGAACACCATTGCAATAAATGCATCTTGCTTTGTCCACTCCATCCTTCTTAAAACGCTTGAAGTGCGGCCAAACGTCTGACTTTTCTTTCCTTTTTCTTGAAATTGTCTCCTCGTCTATTGTTTGAGCAGGAGGTACATTGGTGGTACCGGTAGACGGTGCAGGAGCAGGATCGGAAGACGGTGCAGAAGACGGTGCAGGAGTAGGAATGCTGGTACTCTTAGAGCGTCCTCCACGTCTAGGACGAGAAGCCGATGGTGCCTCACTTTCCCTGTCAAAATGAAATGAAAGATGTAACATAATCAGTTCTCGGTTTTCATATCTTCAGTCTTGGCAATAACATCTGTATGTGGCCAATTTACAGTAACTTATGAACTGCAGATAACTGTTTGTGGTCGTTTTCACAGAATGCAGATAACTGTATGTTTTTCTCTTGCACAATTTGGCTTAGGGCCAACAGTGGAAGAGTCCCCATTTCTTCTGCAAATGCAAGAATGTGCAGCAACTGTTGGATGAGGCTCTCTTGCGTTTGTAGAGTAAATGAGCCTTCCCTAGCTGTTTCTTTGCTTCCAAGTTTCAATGTAATCATATATTCCTACTTAAAAATGACATGAAAATTTTTGGTCAATTAAACGAGGGAAGAAGTTCTAATTTGCTGTTACAAAATGAGTTTACATCATGCTTAGGTCTATTTCCCCCTACACCACCGTTTTAACAGTTGACACAAGCCAAGCCAACCTCGATGCTCTTGTTTTCTCTTCCTCTTTCATGCACAAGAAGAAAGGGGTTTAAAATTGCCTCTGTTCTCGAAGCCAAGAAGTAAAAAAATAAATAACCGGCTTCAAAGGGCAAACACCAAATGGGCAGAAGTGGTTCATTTCTCTGTTATTTCCCCCCTTCATCTGCTGCTACGTATGAGAGCTATGATGGATGGCAAAGAAAAGCAAAACTTCCTGCTTGTATTCAACAAATAGAGTGCAAAAACACATAGAAACTACTGAACTTTGCTAATTGGGATCAATCTGTACAAAAAAGAAAAGATAGAAAGAGCATCCCACTCTACCGCATCACATCAAAGCAATAATCAGCAGTAAAAAATGGAACATGGAGAGAGACAGAGAGAGAGAGAAGCAGAACCCATGAATGAATTTCACCAAAGCAGAACTCATGAGTGAATTTCACCAAAGAAGAATTGTTCGAAGAGACTCATTGGGATTCCATGTTCGGAAGTAGGACTTGGATCTGGTTAGAGATCTCGGTGCTAAAAGAGTGGTTGGCTGGTTGCAGGGGTTCTGTTTTTTCTTTACGTTTCAAATTCACAACCGATGGAAGTGGATGAGGTTGCCGCCTCCAGAGCCGACGCTTCCACCACCACTAATCGACATCATCGAGATGAAATTGGATAAGAAGGATCTGGTAAGGAGTAGCGCACAGTCGGGCATTTGGGTATGGTTTACTGGATGGAAGCAGCTTGATTCCGGGAATAAATTGGCGTTTGTACCATTATTCTTTCATGGACAGAACTTTCCTTTGTGGCCACTCTCTCTGTGAAACCAGCAATAGAAGAAGACGAAAGAAGAAATGGAGGAAGGGGTTGCAGTGGGTGGAGTGGAGAGCAGCCTACAAATTAGCTAGCGGCGAGGACGATGATGGTGGTGACTGGCGAGGGAGCTCTGCTTCGTTTGGCGAAGACGAAGAGAGTGACTGAGTGAGAATGCGCCGGCTGCGAGAACGAGGACGAGGTGGAGTCGAGACTCGAGAGCTAGGGCCGAGACTGACTCTCCATCCCAAAACGACAGCGTGAAGCCCCACTACCCCAGTATCAGTTTTTCGGTTTTCAGGTTGCTTTTCGGTTTTGCAGGTTTCAGTAACCCGAAACCGATACTATAGATATCGGGTTGAACCCAAAAAAACCGAAATCGAGAATGAAAAAAACGGTTCGGGTTCGGGTTAACCCGAAACCGAATTGACAGGCCTAGTTGTCAGTGATTTGTGGGTTTGGGAGATTCGATTGTTAGGTAGGGGTTTGCAATTTCGGCAACTCGATCTACAATCCAGAGCTCATAGCCTGGAAATCGAGTAAAGTTGCAAGGGGCGAACGGTGAGAATATGATAAGTAAATTATTTATTTTTATTTATTTATTTATTTAAGTGAAATGGAAAAAATTAAAAATTCTTGAATTCCTGAGGTGGATTCTAACGTGGAAGCTGAGGTGCATCACCGTTAGAAAATAGTTAACGATAGCAGAACAATAGCCAATACTTTGATCGGTTACAATACATTTGGCTAATTAGTATTGAATTTGGCTAATTAAAATTATTTCAATCGGTTTGACTAATAAAAGAATACAAAAAAGATTTGACTAATAAAAGAGATTACCCTAGTTTTTACCAAACACAACGCAAAAATAAACCTGACCAAATGCTATTCAAGTGATCTAACCCGCAAACTATGGTTCTTTTATTTTGAGAAGTGCAAATAATATAATCTACAGAGACAAATGTCACTAGTTTACAAAAGAGAGTCGAGAATTCTTCTCACCATTTCCTCGGAATAGTTTTTTCCTCTCATGTGGGCAAAGCCCTCAGCAGAAGCAGAGCTTTCTTCCACTGAGGTCTCTGCGACAAAATGATTCTCCTCAGAACTGGCACTGCTCCGGCAGCTATAATTGCCGGGTGGTTCTCGCTATCCATGCTCAAGTTATAGAGTATTGACACTGCCGCATCCACCACCACCCCATCATCATTCCCTCCTCTTTCCAGCAGCTTCACCAACGGAAAGATGCCACCTGTAGAAGCAACAGCTCGAGAAGCAGCAACCACTTCTCCTCCGGAGATGATTCTGTTGAGTTCCACAACAGCAGCAGTGATCTCTTCAATGGGAGAGGACAATGATGAGGCCAGAAGCTTCTCCACTAGTCTTGGGATTGTCTCATAAAGTGTTACTACTTCAGTGTTGATTATGGTGGGATCTTGTCGCAATTGTGTGTAGTTAGGAATACTACCGAGCGAACTACTCAGTTTGATCAGGCAAGCAGAGACCCAGTCCTTGTGATGGAGAGGGAGATGATTTGACTTCAGGATTTCGCGGAGCAATTGACTGAACTGGGTTAAGTCAATCCTGTTGCGAAATTGGTCCGAGTCAAGGAGCTTGGCCAGTAGCTGAGATGCTGCAGATATGACAAGACCAGCTTCTTCCACTTCAAGGATGTCCAGCTCCTCAATTTCATCTTCAGAATTTATTTCTGCCCAAATACGCCAAAGATGACAATGATAAATGACATACACGATATAGAATAAACAAGTTACCGATACCAAGAAATTCTTTATACATCTGATAGTGCCACACAAGTTCGTGCATAATCCTCTTGCTCCTAAAGCTAAAACCAATTAATTTATTTAAACCATTGAAATTGACTCTTAATGCAAAGCTACACAGCTTGGTGATAATGTCAGGGATTGGAGTAGCTGTACCAGTCAATGCACTCTGTTGAAAAGCAGCATGTAGACCTGATTCAACAGAGGCTGAGATGACAGCATTCCTTCCGGCATCAGTATTTGCCATAAACTCGAGCACTGTAGCTGCCTTCCGCTGTAAGCTTGGAGATGAATGCCTCAGCATCTCAACAAGGTGAGCAATGACAGAAGTGTCAAGCAGCTCAAGTCTAAGTTGTATTTGAACAATTCAAGCCAAAAAAAGTGTTAAGCTCTACCGTAGCAATAATATGGACAAGAAACAAAAGATAGAAAAGTCCCACTACTTTGCATAAAGTTTTGCTCTTACATGCAGTAACTGATAGTTTATAAAGAATATCAGTTTCGTGTGCAGACAAACAAGATACTTCTAGTTCCACGTATGAGCTCTAATACCACATACCAGTCTTTAATGATTTAACATTACCAATATCCAGATGATTGAGTTGTAAGGAATACAAGAAAAGGACGCAGTGGGTCGTCGTTTATAGTGGTTGAGTCAAACCGTTCAAGACAGCACAATATAAAATTTACAGTCACATCATGACATCAGAGGCTCTAGCAGACAGTTCTGCATCTGTTTTCTCTGAGCATACAAAAACGGGCTAATGGAACACAGAACTCAAATTTCCTATGTGTATTGACTGTTCTGCAATTCTGTAGTGGACTTATTTGGCCAATGGAACTGGAGGAATTGCATCTCCCTTTTGCAGGAATATCAACAATATTGATACTTCCTAAGATGAAAGTTGCAAAGTTTCTTCATGGGTGGAAATGAATATTACAGGAGGTTACCTGTTATCTAGATTTGACACGGTGTCAACAGATGTTTCAGTGCCTCCTACATCATCCATTCTTCCTTTGTAGCCATTAACTGGTCCATCATAAAACTGGCATGAATTACACGCCTGGTAAGCCTAAAGCTGTATAAGCTTTCAGCACATCGACAAGTTAAATAGCTGACCTTTGATTTCATTTCTTTACTTGGATCCATAATTCTAGCTAGTAAATCCAATGCCTGCATCGCAGCATTTTATTGCAGTCAAGCACTATTGCACTAATCCTTTGTCTTTTATTGTACGGGAAAAAACAAATAATTGGAAGTTAAGGGAAACACCTTTTCAACAGAATCACTTGATGTCTTTGAGTTCTTAATGAAGTTAATCAAGGGAGTCATAACACCTTCTTCTTCAATTTTCTGGCAAACAACATAGCTGCAAGCAAAAGGCAGGTGGAATGAAATAGCATGAATACGGAAAAAAATATTTCCTTGCACTAAATGCTGAACGCTAAGAACTTGTGTCAATCTCACAAATAAAAAAATAACAGCCTATGGTGTTAGCGGCTCGTTCAAACATCAAACTGGAGACATATAATTACTAATCAAATTAGCAGCCACAGTATATTTGAACTTGTAATTCCAATTAAGAATACAACGAATTCTTGCTGGCAAATTTTGTGATGTACACGTAGAAAGATAGAAATAGACAGTTTACCTAGGGGACAACCTCACCAGAGCACCTAGCACAGGCACTCGGACAGAATCATTGTTGTGATACAAGAGCCGAACTAAATGCTTGACTGCTCCAGCTTCCATGAAAGATGTACGCATATGCTCATTTATTGATGCATCTGCAATTGACCCTGCAGCCCGAGATATGGCGGACTCATCCTGTAGCTCAAGGATTAAAACCAATCTAGCCACACCATCTATCCAAGGTAAGAGAGTGAACTGCCTCTCGCTAGGCACATTAGTTATTGATAATTTGTTATCTTCAATCTCTATGGCCCCAGTCCGAGCAAGAAATTGTTGCTTGGAACGCCCTATCATAGCTTGAATCTTTGCCTCCTGTATGTTAGTACTCTTCTCATCAACACTTAGTCCAAGGAGTAACTCAGAAGCACCATACCTTGAAGGACCTCTGGCTGTACGCTCAATCTCGGTCCCATCAGGCAAACTCGGCCATGAAAGCAAAGATGGAGCAAATGAACTATAGGCGGCTGCACCAATCAGTGGGACAGGGACGAGACCTTCTTCAATAACAAGTAGTCTATAATAGTCATTCTTGGAAAGTTCCAGAAGAGCATTTCTTGCCTCCTTTCTGATGACCTTATATTCCTCCGCGGGATCAGATTTTAAGAACTCAGCCTGCAGTTGATGTTGGAAGAGGAATAATACAAAATTATCAAACAGATTAGCATGATACTGTGTTCACCCTGACTGATTAAACAAATGTCTTGGTTCAGCAGTAGACTTTATATGCAACGAGGGAAGCACTACTTGTGACTCCCGAAAACAGAAGAGTTGTAATCGTCTGTAGTATCATTAAGCAACTTCAGAATGCAAATTGATTCTTACCAGCTTAGGGATAATCCCTGCTTCAACCATGACCTTGTGATTGGACGAAGTCAATGCCAAATTGGCTAGAACTCCACCAGCTGCTTCTTTCACTCTGATGTCTTGGTTCTTCAAAGACATAATAAGTAACGGCAGGATAGTGCTGCTTGCAATTTTAGTTCTGAGCCTCTCATCGACTGATAAGTTCCACAGAGTACATATACTTTGTTCTTTAACCTACACAGAAGTTTCCTTTGCTTGGCTCAACTTCAGTCACCAAAAAACCAGAAGAGTTGTTGCAACAGAAAGAGCTCAGTACCTCGGAAGTCGAGGATGGTTGACTAAGCAGACCATTAATCTCTTCAATGGCCCCACTTTCTGCTACCACGGCCCTATATTGATTCACCGAAGATATAGAGCGCAGAAGCCCCGCAGCAGCTTCACTTGAAGAACTAGACTCTGAGTTTAGAAGGTTAATGGTGAGATTGATACATCCCTGAAATTGCATGATGTTATCCACACATTTGTTTCCGCCAAGCGAATACTTCCACAATGCAACTATGGCTTGTTCTCGGTCGAGGGGATCATTATCAAGCCCGAGCATCCGAATGAATAACGGAATGTAACTGTCCCCCAAGCGGGATGAGCTACTGTTTTTCTCTGTCTCGGTGTTCTGAGGATTGCATCAATAAATCACACAGTGTCAGTATCCCCCCATTCTGGCAAAGACCATTGAACAAGGTCAACTGTAATTATTAAAATTCAACAGTCTTTCCGTGCATTGCGATTAAAGGATGATAATCAAACAAGTAATAATTAGCAAATAACCAAAGTTTAAGCTACTTTGGATCCATTTCTCAGAGCATCGCTAGCTAGAGCTTCTGGTTTCAAAATTCTTTCAGGGAGATAGAACTCAGAAGTAGAGAAGCAGGAGAAGTTGAGAAATAAATTACAGTAGACTCCTGCTGATGAGTTGTATCACGGCCGGAGCCACCATCACTGGATGCCCTTGTGCGCACAGGACAACTTGGGCATTCTTTGACCATGGCGTTATCACGAGGAACGTGGAATAGGGTGGTGCTAGAAAGTAATGGTTTCTTCTTTCTGGTTTTGGGATGCCTAAGCGTTGCAGGAGCAAAGGCAGTTGAGTGTTCCAGGACCGTCGGAGGGATGAGATTGAAGTGGCTTGGTATCGCTGAAGTAACCATCATTACTGGAGAAGAAGAAGATGATGACTCTTGACTACGCTCTCTAGGAAAAGGGGTTTTGAAGGTTCGGGAATCTGGAATTACAAAGGGCAGAAGGTGTGGCCAAGAAGAATTTATAGCTACTAGACTTTCAGGGCCGCGCTTCGCAGCGGCTAGGCTTTGTCATCGTGGGCTGACAAAATAAATGAATTATTAACGGCCCACGAGTAAAGAAAACCCAATTCGCTTATACTTCCTCAACCGCCACCAAGATAAATTCTCAATCCTTATTCCATACAATCAAAATAGAGTTGTTATTTACGGCCCATAAAATTATTATTTGTCGTCCACCTTTTTGTCAAAAAAAAAAACAATTTTTCCCTTTCCTATATTCTTTTATAATTCTTGAAACTCTAAGGGTCTATTTACTTTCATTTCTGTTCCTGTTTTTGAGAAAACATATGTTGAAAACAGGTGGAAACAACATTTTATTGTTACCGAAAACAGTAGGAAGTTGTCACTTTTTGTTTTCATAGTTGGAAACGAATAGAAAACATAATGCAAAGTAAACAAGTTTTCTCTTTTTGGTTGCAAAATTTATGGCATGAAAAGAGAAAACAGGAAACAAAAATGGAAGTGAACAGGGCCTAATTTTTTGTTCATCCCCCACACTTCCCTCAACATTGCCAACATACCACTTTTGGTAGAAGAATCCCATCGGAGAAACTCAGGTCGCCGGCAAACTTGTCTCGTCCGCAAACTTTAATAGTGGCATAAAATGAGGTTATATTCTATCTCTCGACAAATGTGGAATGTCTAGCAACAGAAAAAAAAAATTGAAACCAAAAAGGGGCTGACGACGACTGGTACGAAATGGATTTTCGAATGACGAAGTTCAGTACGAAAGTGGTCTTCGGAGGACGAAGCACCGTACGAAAATAACTTTCGTGCCAAATTGACTGGTACGAAGGACGGCTTCGTACGAGGCAGTGTGGTACGAAGGTCAATTTCGTACGGGGCATTGTCCTCCGAAATCCATTTTCGTACCGGGCACGGTGATCCGAAAACTTCTTTCGTACCGGGCTGACTTTGTATTTTTTATAAATAATATCTAAATAATTCGTAGTTGCTGAAAACTTAAAGTTTAAATTTTTATAAATTATGGTAGTACAATTTATTCTCATTATTTTATATATTGTATTGAATTAGTGTTTATGGTTTGAATTTCATAATTAAAGGTTTATGATAGATTTGTTTATATTTAATTTTTTTAAGTATTGAATTATGGTTTAGTGTATATTAAATTTGTATTTAGTATTGAATTATGGTTTAGTGTTTAAAGTTCATAATTTAGTGTTTATAATTATTTAGTTCATATTTACTTTGTATTAAGTTTTGAAGTAGGGTTTATTGTGTTTTGAATTAGGGTTTAGTGTATAATTTATTTGTATTAAGTGTTCAATTAATGTTTATGGTTTAAAGTTCATAACTTAGGATTTTATGATTTGTTTGTATTAACATTAGTTTGAGGATGGCTCTAAAGATTTGTTCATTTGTAATTGTAGGTAGACATGATGAATGAGTTTAACCTGATAGATGATGACACGGGGAGCTTCATCAATAATGTTCGCTATCCTAATTTAAACGATGTTGTGACAGAGGCAAAAAACATTGCGAAGCAATACAGTTTCTTTCTGATAAGGGGTTCGAATAAGCCACGATAAAAAATGGGAGAACCTTCGGTCTATGTTATATGTATTGTGATCAATGCAGTAGGATGAAGAAGTCATACAAACTGGATCCAACGAAGGAAAGACGTGGAAATACTAGTACCAAAGGTGTTGAATGCATGTTCACGGTCAAAATTGTAAAATTATTGGTTGATTAGGATAATGATCATGGGACGACATTCTGGATGATACAAGGGGTGTTGGAAAAGGAAACTGGACGGTGGCGAGGGTATCACACCTATGAGAAGATGCTTTATCCGGAAGGGCATCGTCATAACGTAGAATTCAGTGGGCAAGATAAAGAGCAGATAAAGAATATTAGAGATGCTGGTGTAGCTCCATCGTTCCAAAAGAAGACGATGAACAATCAAAAGGGGGTCCAAGATCAGGAGAGAATGAATGGGTGAGATGAATGCAATCCAGTACACGTTGCAAGCAGCCGAAGAAAAGGGCTACCATATTCAGAATTTGAAAGAGGATAACGATGTGCTCACCAATCTTTTCTTCGTACATCCAACTTCCATCTAAATGTTGAAGGCTTGGTGGTATGTCATTCTGATAGACGCCATCTACAAGACCAATGCTTACAAGTGTCCGTGGGTGGAGGTCGTAGGTGTTACTCCTGTGGGGAAGAATTTCAACATATGTTGTGCTCTTTTGGCGGTTGAGACAAAAGATTCATATCAGGGATTGCTAGAATGCATAAAGGAATTGCTTGGTCCACGGGAGCCCACAACTATCATCACCGGCAAAGAAGGTGGGCTACTCGTTTCAATTCCTGTGGTCTTCCCTAACACCCCGCATTTGCTATGTGTGTGGCACGGAGAATACCATGAAGGAATAGTTTCTAAAGCTATTGAATAACCTAGATGCTGCTGAGAAGGCCTATGAAGACCATTGGGAACCTATGCTTCTTTAATGGTCCGAAGAAGGTCTTTACGCTGCCATGGAAAACTTTAGAAGGATTTGGAACAACAAGGACCAACGCATGGTGGATTACATACTGCATGAGTGGTGGGGGCACCGATAGAAGTGGCCAGTTTGTTATACGAAGCATGTATTCCATCTAGGAAACACGAGCTCAAACAGGGTTGAGTCCTCTCGTTCATCATTCAAGACGTACCTTCAAAATTCGTGTGGTTCTATCGACACGGTATGGCAAGCAAACTACCGATTCATTGTAAATCAACTCATTGAAGTGAGGGGTATGTTTCAAAATTCTAGACAAAAGAAACTTTCATTATCCGACGGTTCACCATTTACATTCTTAGGGAGGCAGGTCGACGAAAAGGCAATTATACTAATTAAAAATGCAGAAGATAAGTTGAAGAAACGATGTTCATGTCATTATCCCGTCCCGCACGGTCTGAAGTGTGGATGTCAGGTTAAGGTGGCTAGAGCATCAGATATAGAGATATACCCTGATAAGCTGCATGTCTTTTGGCAATCATTGGAGTATGAGAACCCACCCAATGCTGAAGACTATGGACCCGTAGAGAAAGCAGTGAAACAACACTTATACGCTTTGGCCAAAGAGGTTGTACGCATAGGGCCAGGGGCTACTAGCAAAGAAGCCACAAGCTTGTTTCGCGGCCTCCACCTACCGCAGGACACCATTCACGCTGTAGACTATGGACCCGTAGAGAAAGCAGTGCAACAACACTTATTCGCTTTGGCCAAAGAGGTTGTACGCATAGGGCCAGAGGCTACTAGCAAAGAAGCCACAAGGTTGTTTTGCGGCCTCCACCTACCGCAGGACACCATTCACGAGTCGACAGTGAATGAAAGAAGAAAAGGTAAGATCGAAGAAAAATTCAATTGCGAAAGAAATCTTAGTGGGAGAAGAAAACATTGCGCATGCTAAAGAAGAACATGAAAACCAAGTCCGGGAGCACAACATCGGGGTCCACAAAGTCGGGGAAGACCAAGTCCACAAAGTCGGCGAAGACAAGGTCCATAGGAACCTAGACAGACGGGTGTCCTTTAGATAAGCATACATTTGACGAACCTGGTCCTGACGGTCATTATACTGGTATGAACACGTAATCATTTCAATATTAGTGTATATATTACGTGTACTTGTCCCTTTTTAGCCAAACTGATTCCTATTCTCTAATAATAGAGTACGCAGCCGACAACAGCCAAAAGGAATACTATCACGAGCATCGGCTACCCGTGATCGTTCGAGGTCGTTACAGTTCATTTCATGACCCTACACCAAACGGTCATTGTGGGTTTCGTGCGCTCAGTTTTGCAATACATGGTACTCAAGACAGGTACATAGAGATGAGTTTCATCATAGTAGAAGGAATTCGCAACCATGATTACCGATATGTCAACATTTATGGTACTGAGGCGGTGGATGCCATCAATCACATCGACCCAAGAGACGCAAATCCGACAATTGAGGAATACTAGATGATGGGTGTGGACCTATTTGTGTTTGCCACGCTTTTCAACTTGGCAGTCATTATGTACGCATCATACACCATCCCCGTACGATCAGAGATTAATTGCACTATGTTCCCCATGGATAACCTATACGACAAGCCAGGACCAAGAGGTGTCGTGGTCCTTCATTTCGTCGACGATCATTGGCTCAACCTTTCCTTCGCATCTTTTGAAGAGATTTAGTTGCCCCCTGTGGGTCTCCTATGGGATCTTGGCAAACAAGATAGCATCATTGGCTGGTATCAGAGTTTTCTCGCGTCTCAACAATTGTGGCTCGATCTTGGAGGAGCTCAAAGTCAGGGTCCAAGTCGAAGTAAAGCTTGGAAACAAAGGAACAAGTCTTAGCTTATCAGTAATGTAATAGACATGTGTGGTGGTTAGCAAATTAATAATAAGATGGGCCGCACAAGAATGTAATGACATTGTCTCATAACTAAAATACACGAAGATAGTCTCATAACTAAACTACAATAACATAATCGTTCACACATGTCTGAACCAAAAGAAAATAAGCTATCAAACTACTGCTCGATAGCGTAGTCTCGCGATCATTATACCAATAAATACCATACTCATATGTCTGAACTACAAGATAATGAAACATCAAACTACGGTTGTGGAGGAAGATGAAAAACACCGGTAATCTGGTTGTACTTAGTCCACAAATCACCAACACCATGTAGCATGTGGTAGTACTCATTCGAGTTAGTCCGTCATTCCTCTATGCTGTTGTTAGTAGAACTGTACATTGCAGGACCAATCTCCATAAACATCTCACGTCCCAACTGCAATTATTGAAAAAATTAACACATGTGTGTGTGTGTGGGGGGGGGGGGGGGGGGGGGGGGGGGGCGAATTCTTTTTCCTCCCAATGAGTTGTGCTTAACGAATGTTTCCACGTATGGTGCTTGGTTGCTGATTTGTACATGATGGTTAACATGAACCACCCATACCTTGTGGCGCTAAGGGGCCGCCCTGAAATGGAAGAATAGATGCTTTTTTGTGCATCTTCGCGCGTCGGTGACCATTGGAAACCCGACTTCGCACATTTCGACGGCCTTCATTGCGGTAATGTTATGAGGGAGGCAGTGGTGCACCCACAATGGCGCCAACTCCTTGATCTCGAAGATAACATTTACGGGGACTGTGCATCAAGTTTTTCAGCGATTCACCGTCCTCAAGACCAAATGCCTACTCGGCCATCCAATACGCCAGGTCAAGCTCCAGTTGGGAGGGGAATATCGCATTTTGAGCTACGACGGGTTAGACGGAGCCCTAGGAGTTGAAGCCAAGCATGAGGACGATTGGGAGGAAGACACCATCAAAGGTTGCGACATGAATGTCGCATTTCTGAAGTTTTGCCTTCCGAAGTACCGAAGGAAAAAATTTAGGTTGGCCCTCACAGTGGCATCTACACTCATACCATAGTGGCGTGTCATCATTGCACTCCTGGCTCGTTCCCTCTACCCGACTTACCACAACGCGAACAAGATAACCGAGAGAATCTTATTGGCTTGTTCTTGCATGGTGGACACGTCTAGCACTCTGCACCTGGGTTCAGTCATAGCCACTTCTTTTGCTAGGGCTAGATGAGGAAACCGTCTTTATGTCACATCGATGGGTCCCTACATCACCCGACTTGCTCGACACTTCAAGGTCAGCCTTGCAGGGTGCTCGAGAGAAGGGCGCTCCCATGGGTTTGACGAGGTCACCTTACACTCCATGCGCTTATTCCGCACCTTTGGACCAATTCGGTACATCGAGGGATTGATTTCTCCTCCAGGGGTTCCACCCCCAGAGCAACCACCTGCTCGAGCACCTGGCCGCCGCTGCGCGTCCAGCGCTCTAGCGCCCCATACCGCCACCAGCATCAGCTTCAGAACCCAGGCCAGCGGGTGATCCCCTCGTCCAGAGGATGGATCGCCTTGAGACACAGTTTGGAGGAGTGGCTTCCCGCCTCGATCGGCCGACGAACCTCCTCGAGCAGATGGCTAGACGCCAGGGTCTCAGTCCCAATGATGTGACAGGGCCTTCGACCCAGTGAGGTAGCCGACGAGGGAGATATGTGGCAGAGCCGATTCCTTTCGCCCCACTACTCCACTTGGAACTCTGAACTCTTTTGTTTTATTTTTCTTTCGTTTATGTGTTTGTGACTATAAACTACTACTAGTATCGTATTGTGTTATGTAATAACCTTGCCTTGAGAGAGTCGTATTTTGTTTGTATGTGTGTGTTTTTTTCTTTTCCTTGAAGCTCCAAATCTTCTGCCCCGGAAACAATTCCAACTTTTGCTCACCAAGCAAAGCAGTAACGTCGTTCTACCCCTATCTTATACCATTGAGTGCAATGTCGAGCTTAAGTGTTGGGGGGGGGGGGAGTCTACTTTTATGCTTGTGTGAGTGTGATTGATGCTTGGAGCCTTGATTTATGCCCATATTTAATTCAAAAATTTTGAGGGCTCCAAGCAATGTTTGTATGATCAAAGTGGCCTGTTTGTAGGAGAATCTTTTCGTTGTTGGCATTGACCTTGAATTGTTGCATGTGATCGAGTATGTCCTATGATGATGATTGAGAGGTGCACTAGGATAGTGCAAAGGTTTAGTTCTCATGTGTGCAAAAATGAATGGATGTTTTGACTCGATTACTAGTTGGTTACAATTGCCACGCATGTTGCATTGTGATTTGGAATAGATGGTTGTGTGACTAGGTAGCCATGTGAGCTTTGAGCCGATCGCTTTCTTCTTGTGTTCTTAGATCCCTCTTACCATGGCGAGTAACATCACAGTTGTCACTAGTGAGTATGATGGGCATAGGATTAGTCCACGCCCAAATGTTGATTGTCCCGAATGAATTATCCACTAGTGAACCCCTTTGAGCCTTGTGACTTTGGGGGTCGTTCTTATGTTAGGAGCATGTTGCTTGTGAGCTTAATGGTGTTAATAGAACGACCCCCATCTTTTCTTCGTGTCTATACATGTGTAGTTGTTGTGTCTCGGATCTCTCGCTTTTGAGCTCCATTGAGGTTCTACATAGGAGGATTGTGTGCGGTTCTTGCTAGGATCGAAAGTGAAAGGAAGAGTAGTGTTGGAGTGAGTTCTTAAAAAGAGAGCATTGATCGTTAAAAGTAGTGTGGCAAATGTTTAACTCTCTGGTACCCCCCTCAAAAAGAAAAAAAAAAAGAAGAAACAAAAAGAAAGAGAAACAAAAAAGCGGTAATAAAATGAGGTAAATAAAGTAGGAGTGCCACAAGGATTCAAAGAGTTGCTCTAGGTGAGGTTTCTTAGCACACAAGCCATCGAAACCTCCACATTGTATTAGAACTCCTTATCTACCAAAGCAAAGTGTGATAGCAAGAGTGGACCGAGGAAGAGTGCTTAAGGGAAGTTCATGATGGGTTATAGTTTGGAAGGGAGAAGCAAGGTTTTTGGCCGATGCTAGTGGCCGTTGTTTGTGAGGAAGGTTCTTAGTTGAAACCATAGAATCTTCGGTTTTAGGGTGAAGATGTAGGACCTCATGATGTGTTTGCCACCACCCAAAAGGCTTTTTTCCCATGTCCAAGACAATCTCCAATCATTTGAACCCGTGTCTAAGACCTCCGGACAAGGTAGTGATGAATACCGTTTTGTGAACTCTAGCATTTAGAGGTTGTTGCCGTGGTGTTGAGACGATAGGGCCGAGAGTTGATGATTGTGCACATTTTTTGCACCAAAAGGTCCCAACCCCACTGGTCAAGAGAGTGAGTGATTCATTCTTGTTTTGCATGTCATATCATACCCCGGTGAGGACCTTTGCTGCCCATCCGTTTGTTCCTTGGACTTGAAATCTATGCATGGTTAGTTGTGGTTGGTAAGTGAACTTGTTGAAACTTGAATTGATTCATGAACAAGGTGAAAACTTTCTTTTCATTTGCTCGTTTCTAGTAGCCTCGAATGTCATTTGTGGTGGATGTCGGTATTGCTTGCAACGATCCCTGTGTTAATTTCCAATAGCCATTTGAGATTCTCTACTTTGTGCCCTTTGAAATGTCCCCAAAGCATTGTGATAGGATGTGTTTTTACCTTGTGTGAAATGGCTTGCTTGGGGACAAGCAAACGTCTAATTGCACACATTTTCTCCCAGTTTCCCTTGTGCGTTTGTAGCATTTGGACTCCTTAAATGATGGATTTATGCTAGGTTTTGTGCGTTTTAGTGTGTTTCAGGATCCAACAGGTGAAACCAGCCCCGAAGTCGAAAGTTGGACGAAAAGAGGTGAAGACCGGGCAAAGAGGGTGATCCAAGCGGAGTTCACGGTTTAGCATGCGTCCAGTGAGAAATATGTAGTTACTACCGCAGGACGAGTTCACGGTCAACAATACCGTCAAAATTTAGGTCAAACCGTGAACTCCTTACGGCGAAGCGGTGCGTTTCGACATC